AGTATCCCTATAGGACAGAGTAGAACTGCCCCACAGGGTTTCCTGGGAGCGCCTGCTGGGCTCCAACGGCCAGACGTTTTGGTTAGTGGCTGAGCTCTTAACCACTGCACCACCAGGGCTCCACTGACCTTACAGGAAATGCAAAAAGTGTTGATTGTAATAGTTGATGTGGCCCAGCAGATGAAGCCCCTGGCTCCCACCCCTCAGCAAGGAAAGGCACGCCCTGGGGGATTGGATTAGCTGGGCTGCACTGGAGACCCACTGATAAAATGCTTCGTTTTTGATTATCCCTTAAAGTGACCACTTCTTGGTTACTACAACATGGTGACCAGTCCTGGCTCAGGCCCCAAACTAGCTGAATTCCTGTGGGCAAATCACTTTGCGTCTCTGGGTCTCAGCTTTCTCACCTCAGACGGGAGGGTATCCTCCAAGGCCCGCGCTGTCCCCCACATGGCTGTTCCAGCTCACATCTTCCCGATTGTATCGCCACAACAATATCCATTAAATTGCTTTTCATATTCCAGATAGATTGCAGCACACCTTGATCTCCAGGATGGAGGCTGGACCACTCCCGCAGCTCAGCAGGAACCCTGCTCTTTAGGCTGCTTACCCCATACCCGACTCGACAGTACCTGAAAACACCTCGTGCTCATTGCCCTTGAGTAGATTCCGATTCATAGCGACCCTATAGGACAGAGTAGAACTGCCCCATAGAGTTTCCAAGGCTGTCATCTTTACGGAAGCAGACTGCCACATCCTTCTCCCGCAGAGTGACTGGTGGGTTCAAACGGCTGACCTTTCGGTTAGCAGCCGAGCGCTTAACCACTGCACCCCCAGGGCTCCTTTTGTCTCTCTAGGTGGTGGTGTTGTTAGGTGCTGTCGAGTTGGTTCTGACTCACAGTGACCCTACGTAGAACAGCATGAAACACTGCCCAGTCCTGTGCCATCCTCACAATTGTTGCTATAGTTGAGCCCATTGTTGCAGCCACTGTGCCAATCCATCTCTTTGAGGGTCTTCCTCTTTTTCGCTGACCCTCTACCTTACCAAGCATGATGTCCTTCTGCAGCGACTGGTCCCTCCTGATAACATGTCCAAATTACCTAAGATGAAGTCTTTCCATCCTCCTTTCTAAGGAGCATTCTGGATGTACTTCTTCCAAGACAGATCTGTTCCTTCTTCAGGCAGTCCGTGGGTATATTCAATATTTTTCACCAACACCATAATTCAAAGGCATCGATTCTTCTTCAGTCTTCCTTATTTATTGTCCAGCTTTCACACGCATATCAGGTGACTGAAAATACCATGGCTTGAGTCAGGCGCACCTTAGTCCTCAAGCTGTGGATGGCATTAAGTATTCTTTCATTTTGTAAGTACGATGATTTACTTAGTCCAGGTGATTGAGGTGTATGCTTTTCCTTACTGATTTTGCAATTTGGAGGAATGAAATGAATGAATGAAATTCGGGATTTTCATTTTCCTGGAGCTACACCAGATGGGCTTCTCCCTTCTCTGCTTGGAAAACTCTTTATCCTTCAAGATCCAGCTCAGATGTTAACTTGGGGCCTCTGTGAGGTTCCCCCCTCCTCTGTGGTCCCACAGCACCAGATCACACACTCTTTACAGGATAGGAGACCTAGGCCAGTACCTGGCTCATAGGTGCTTGGGCAAATGTTCATGGAATGAATGGAAGTCTACCCTGTTGAACAAAATTTGGCATTTCTTAGGAGACAGGCATTTTACAAGCTATGGTGCAAATAAGGGTTGGATGAATTAAGCAGGTACACCCAAGGAGGGCTGGAAATTTTCTTCTGTTCTAGACCCAAGATGGGGAGCTGGGGGACTTGGGAATTTCTGGTGTGTGGAGGGGGAATGGTGGCTGCAGAACACCTCCTGGAACTCAGTGATCATCTTTACAATCTGAAAGCAGCAAAAAACTAAGGGCCAGAGCTGAAAGCTAATATTTATATGTAGTCACTCAATAAGCACTTATTAAACAAAAGAATAAATGAATGAAAGGAAGATGTGATGCTGGACTCTGGGAGGCAAGTCAGTCCAAGGAAGCCCTTGTTCTCAGTGAGCTCACATCGGAAAATCAAGGAATCCACCTCAGAAGAATTCTCCCCACCCCATGCAGCCTTTAGACCTGATTTGTGCAGGGGCTCCTGGCTGCCTCACCGACAGGCAACGACGTCCTGACAGTTTGGTTTGCGAAGAGTTTATGCTCCAGGAGTCAAACCCTTCCGGGGGCTGGGAAGCGGGGAGCATCTGCTTTAGCTTACTATAGGGTATTTATTAATCTCTGTGTCTGCAACACCTCGCAAAGGACTGGGCACACCACTGTTAGATGCTGTAGAGTCGTTTCGACTCATAGCGACCCCATGTACAGTAAAACACCGCCAGGTCAGCGCCATCCTCACAAGCATTGCTATGCTTGAGCCCACTGTTGCAGCCACTGTGTCAATCCGTCTCGTTGAGGGTCTTCCTCTTTTTCACTGACCCTCTACTTTACCAAGCATGATGTCCTTCTCCAGGGACTGGTCCCTCCTGATAGCATGTCCAATGTACGTGAGATGAAGTCCCGCCATCCTTGCTTCTAAGGAGCATTCTGACTGTACTTCTTCTAAGACAGATTTGTGCCGTTCTCCTGACAGACCAAAATGGGCACAAAGTAAAAAAAAAAACCAAACCCGTTGCCGTCGAGTCGATTCCCACTCATAGCGAACCGTAGGGTTTCCCAGGAGCAGCTGATGGATTTGAACTGCCGACCTTTTGGTTAGCAGCTTACAAATGTTTGCAGAAAGGACAAACGTGATCACCCGGATGGAGGGCCTCGCCAGCCAGGCTCCCAACCAGTTGCTTTACGGATGCTCTGTTCCTCCAAACCACCTTGCAGGTAGGTCTGTACCATTTGCCCAGTGTACAGGTGAGGCACTGACTCCCAGAGGGGTTTCGATGTCGCTCAGGCCAACGCCAAGGGTAAAAGTAGCACCGCGGGGAGGTGAACCAGCGCGCCTGCCTCCAAAGCCGGCATTCCCGCCACGCGCGCATCTTTGCCTGCTTTGGTACAGTAGGTGAAGCTCAACAGCAGCTCTGGCGCAGAAGCCGCGTCCTTTCGCATGCTGCACCAACGCGCTCCGGGAGGCCGCCTGGGGAGCGTCTGGAGGCGACTCTCGCGGCTTCCGCCAGCCCCGCGGCCCCTGGTGGGCGTGCGCCCCCCTCCCCCTCCGAGCCGGGTGTACCGCACGCTAGGAAGCGTCTGGCGCAGGACCTGAAGCACAGCTGAAGGTCATGCTGTTCCGGCGGCGGTACAGGGAGATTTTGGGGGTCGCCCCGCTAGGATCGGTGCCCCGAGCCATCAGTCGCTCCGCAGCAGCCCCCAGAGGGGCTCGGGGCGGCGCTTGGGTCGCGCAGCCAATCAGCGCTCGGAACGCGCCACCGCCCCGACCTGAGGAGGCGGCGCTTGCGCAGTGGGCACCCTCCTCGGAGGGCGGGGCGGCCGGCCCGCCG